TGTTTGTCGATGGCCAGGTTCTGCAGCGCCCCCTGCGCCTCGAAGGAGGCGAAGCGGCCGAACTCGGGCAGGCGCCAGCGCGTCCCCTCTTCACTATCGCGATATAAACACCCCACTATCGCGATAGAAACCCCACTATCGCGACATAGCCCCTCCAAAATCGCGATACAAACCACGATATCACGATATGAACCCCCTATCGCGATATAAACCCTTCAATATCGCGATATAAACCCCTCACTATCCTGATAGAAACCACGGTATCTCCTCCACTATCGCGATGTAAACCCTGATATCGCAATATAAACCCTCAAATATCGCGACATAAACCCCAATATCGCGACATAAACCATGATATCGTGATAAAAACATCACTATCGCGATATAAACACCTCACTATCGCGATATAAACCCTCCAATATCGCGATAGAAACCATCCAATATCTCTATATAAACCATTATATCGCGATAGAAACCCCGATATTGTGACATAAACCCCTCACTATCGCGATACAAACCCCTCCGATATCGCGACATAAACCCCTCACTATCGCGACATAAACCCCTCGATATCACGATATAAACCATGATATCACGATATAAACCCCGCACTATCGCGACATAAACCCTCCAATATCGCGATATAAACCTCCCTATCACGACATAAACCCTCCGATATCGCGATATAAACCCCACTATCGCGATATAAACCCTTCACTATCGCGACATAAACCCCGATATCGCGATATAAACCGTTCACTATCTCGATATAAACCCTGATATTGCAATACAACCCTCCAATATCGCGATACAAACCCTCCAATATCGCGACATAAACCCCGATATCGCGATATAAACCCTTCACCATCGCGATATAAACCCTGATATCGCAATACAACCCTCCAATATCGCGATATAAATCCCTCACTTTCGCGATGTAAACCCCTCGATATCGCGATTTAACCCCCACTATCGCGATATAAACACCTCACTATCGCGATATAAACCTCGACATTACCGATGGGGGTGCGGGAGTTGTTGTTGGCGGCCATGGAGCTGTCGAGGTTCTGTTTGTCGATGGCCAGGTTCTGCAGCGCCCCCTGC